AACATCTCAGAATCATGTTTCATGCTGAAGCTGTGATGGCAGCAAGAATTCTCAGCTTTCTGTCAGTACATAGGTCCTCTTCTGCACATGCTTTCCAGAGGAAAAATATGAGCTGCTTTTTCTTCCTATATATATTTATTCCCCTGAGCTGGGAGCCCTGTCTAGCATATATCTGGGATGTGTTTGTAATTACACTGAAAGAAACTACTTACAGTGAGTTTTTCCCTTTCTATATCTTTACAAAAGATACCTTTAAAGGGCAGGAAAAATCATGTCTTATTTCAAGGATGTTAGCCTACTGTAAACACAGCCAAAAACTTGGGTTGCATTTGTAACCCTAGTACAAGTAGCAGTTAGAGTTATATGCCATTTGGAGACACCACAGAATGTAAACAAAATATCACTGAGAATGGAAAAGAGGTCAATATTCAATTTAAGTAGGATAAATACACTAGAAAAGTATTCTTTTGGTAAATAACTTCCTAGCCTATAAGGAGGCTAGCGATTGTAGAAGCAGCTTCCTCCTAAAAGCTCTTGTATTTAGTCATCTCTCTGAAGTGTATCCTCAAGTTGCCTTGGTCTTTTTTTATTTTTTTTAATTTTTATTTTGTTGTGTGGTTTGCATCTTCTGTGGTAGGACACACATTATTTGCAATAGTAGCCTTGCCAAATATGTATGGAATTCTGTAGAATCTCTGGACTGTACAATAAAGTGAAGAAAAGGGGCTGTTAAGTAGGCTGGGGAGGAGAATTCCATTGAGAGCATTAATTTTCCTTTGGCTCCAAGTAATGTGGATTCCTGGAGCTGAGAGGATATGTCCATGCGTAAAGCTGTAGCACACAGAGGACAGGAAAAATAAGAAAGCAGTGGAGAGAAAGCAGGAGAAGAGCTAGAGTATAAGAGCAAGGACAAGTGAGTGATTTTTCCGTTTCAATTTTTATCCCTTTGTTCTTTTGTTTTTACTTTCATGGTCTTGTTTTCCAATTGTCACAAAATTTATAGTATTAGAAGCAAATATAAAAAAGCCACAAACCCATGGCTTTTAGTATATTGCACATTAAGATTAGTCTAGAGCTGCAGGAACTGTCCTGAGTTACCAATACTGAACTTGCACTGATTCATTCCTATGCTTTCCTTTTCTTTAAAAAACTAAACTTTTCTAGAAAAACACGTAACAGAAAGAAATTTTGAATTTTTAATTTCACTTGGGTGATTAGTAATAAAACTGATTTTTTTAAATTTCTTGGAAGACAGTTGATTATGACTGAGTCTTAATGACCTACACAAGATTAGAAATACAGGAGGAAACTTAATCTGGTATTTGCTTGTAGTGGACTGATGCTATAGAGCTGAGGTGAAATATTGTATCTGTGTATGTGTGTGTGTCTATATGTATAATGGTCTGTGCTTTTAAAGAACAAGCTTGACTTTGAGACAAGTCAACTGAAATGGATTTCAAGTAAAGTATTTATTATGGGTGGAGCTGCCAGTGCCACTTGTACTTAAGGTTGTGTGACCCTTTCCATTTTAAGGCTTAACTCTTGGTTACTTTGACTTTTGCCAAACTTCAGACAGATTCTTCCATGCCAGATATCTGCTCTGGGTTGAATTTTTTGAAAGTTTCGGCCAAAGCACTTCTGTTCCAAGAACAAGGCTAGGGAAAAGTATGCTGTTTTGCTTGTGTGAGAATATTCTGGTGTCCTTCTTTGATGCTCCAGTGCCCCCAAGCTCTAAAGCAAGGATTTGAAATTTGGCAATAGTTCAGCCTTTGTGTTGAAGATGTGCCTTTTGCCTCCCTGTAAAAATCCACCCAAATTTCCAGACCAGTTTACAAGGCTTTGAAAGATTGCCATTTGCATGGGCTTAATAGGAATTTCTTAAAACTTCACAGTAAGCTTCCTTTAGATTCTGTTCACACTGGGAATGCTTCAGGCAGAGTAGAGCTGCATATTTCATCCCACTTCTGCTAGGAGTTGTGACGGCTGGGTCTGGGTGCTGACATTGAACTAGGAGTGGGCAGCATTGTGTCTTGTATCACCCCTGCCTGTTCCCATGTCCTGTTCCTTTTCCCTGGTGATGGACCTGGGCCCTCTGGAAAACAAAACTGTTTCTCTCATCTGAAAGAGCATGACAGATGTGGAGGAGAAGGATTTGGGAGAGTGTGTATGTCTGGTTTATACCATTCCTTTGGTTACAGAAAATGTGTGTATCATACTGGCAAAACAATACTTCCTTTTCTACTTAATGTTCAGTTTGGTTTTGTTGCATTTAAACCTCAGTAGTTAAGTGGGTATCAAGGTTTTAATGTGAGCATCAACTATGTGAGCATCAATTAAAAAAAAAAAAAGGTTAGACTCAAATACAGTCATGCATACAGGTCAGTACAGGAATGTTAATTTATTGGGCAGAAATCAAGAGCTCACTTTTTTCAGACATTGAAGTCTAACTCTGACATTTGCATTTAGTACACTGTAGCCTCCAACTTCATCACAAGTGTTGTGTGTTTTGTCCAAGAGGCAACTGTTTGACTGGAATGGGGAAAGGGGCCTGTTTTGAGGATGAGTCCAGGATTTGTACAAGTAAAGGCTGTGTATTCATCTGTTAGGGAAGTTGAAAAATGTGGAGTGAGGGAAGTTGAGATTTGGGGAAATAAAAAAAGTCTTTGTGGCTAAGACAGTTCAGTGGTGCCTGATGAATTGTGTGCTGTTTGTGCTCAGTCGTGGTGGTGTTTCTGCAAGAGGCATGCAAGTGACTGTTCCTGCTCAGACTCTGTGTTGTGGCTGGCTTGAGCACTTGTATCCATTCACAGAAATGCAGAACTGCAAGTGAACTCAGTGGGAGCTAAACCTCCTGTAAAATCCTGTATTTCACTTAAGACAGTAAAAACTAGCTCAGAGTATGTGAAGTTTGACATCTGTAGCCAGAGAACCTTTTGGTCTAATTAACCTAATGCCTCAGTTGCCAGTTTTACAGGTGAAGGAATGACATGTCCCATTTCTGTAGAAAGACTCAGGGAGAAACTGGTTGCCTTTGTGGCAGTACTGGAAAATAACATGCTGTAAATAGAGCATATAACCACCTCCCTTGATCAGGGATGGAACAAAGCATTGAAAAATATGCCATATTTTTATCTCTCATACCTTTTTTTTTCACTAAAAGTTACTTAGTGTTAATTAATCTATTTCATACTGATCTAACCATAAAAATCTCAGTATCTTAGCTCTTGAACTTAAATTTTCCACTTTGAATTAGCAGTCAAAATTTGTAAACTTTGAGAATAATATTAAAATGCAAGTTTAATTAGTACTTAAATTACGAGTAATTGTAGTTCTCTTCAAAATCACAGTCACTTGACCTTAGTAGTAGTTGAATAAAATGTTAGGAGGATCCTTCTTCTCTGTTTACTATGAAGATGGAAATCATCCTTGCTCAAGCTGTTTACTGTCACCTCACCATGATAAATTTCCCCTTTCTTAGCTGCTTCAATAAGACATCTCTTTTTTTTCATCCCTTTGTAAAGTCAGCCATTACCTAAAGTTTCCTATAAAAAAAATAAAAAAAACCAAAAATTAAAGTTTTTGAAAGAGAAAACACTACAACAAATAAGTGACTGTATGTTTGTGGAAATGTCTAGCTCCCACAGTGAAATGATTTGCTGCTAAGGTTTAGTGAATTTAATGCTTTGGAAATAATTTGTTGGAGAGTCTGCAGCAGCGGAGAGTTTTGGGTTGTGGTTATTTGTTGGGGTTTTTTTTCTTGTTCTTTCTTTTGAGGTGGAGGTGTAAAAGATTGTTTTGTCTGCTACTTTAAGCTGAAGTATTCATCAAATTTTTTGCTTGTTTCTTGGGTTGTTTTCTCAGGGTGTCTGCTGCCTCTGAACCAGTAGCTCTCATATGAGTCTTTTGAAAACTTCAGCATAAACAAGGCATTTGACAGGATGTGCCATGCAGTATTTTTGGGAGAAAGATGAGAATTTTGAGCTGCTCAAAGCACATACATCTTAGGGGAACTCAGCTGCTAAGAACAGCACTCTTATTTTCCTAGCTGTGTGAATCCACTTGCTAGTGGGCAACTGTTTTGTGTTTTGTTTTCTTTCCCCCACAAGACTTCTATTTACTTGTGTGCTCTTCCATGTGTGTTTTGAGCTGTGCTTTGAAGTTGGGCAGCTAGCTTTAAACAAAAGCTGTTACCATGCTCTGCATAGCATCCAGCTTGATTTCAGCAATCTGTTGTGTCAGTGATGTGGTTTAGAGTTAACAAAATGCTGTTCTTTGCTTGCCTTGCCATTGGTTTAAGTAGGATTAAAATTGAAAAAGAAAAAATCATATCACACTGGGTATGTTATATAAAAGGCTAGTCAAATATGATTAGAATGTGATTTAATGGCTGTGCAGCAATTATTAATTGGTCAGGCATCTGTGAGATGAAGTTTGAGGTATCCTCTCTTTTTTCCTTTGTCACCTTCCTTTTCCTCTTTCCTAGTACCTCTAATAATCTAAAGAATTTCTGAAAACCCAGAACTCATGTGCATTTAGTTTCCTACATAAGTCACTCTAGTATATTGTACTTCAGAGTGCAATTATTAATTAAATTATTAATTAAATTATTAATTAAAACAATTTAAAATGCATATTTTGTCATATTTGAGCATTGTTCTTCAGTAAAGAGGTCCAAATGCTACACTTTACTTTCTTGAGTTTATACTGAAGTCCATATTCTTTTATATAGTGATTTTTATTTTAAGATTAGGGCACAAAATGAGGAGTAGATTCTGAAAGGAAAAAGCAAACACAACTGCAGAAAACCAAATTAATTTGTATATATTTACATGAGCAGTAAAATAGCTATGATATTCAACTATTATTTCAAATTAATTTGAAAAAATAACTAAAATCTGATTAACAAGACCGCTTTATTAAATGGGTTTAATATGTGATCATTTATATGAAATATGTGAACTGTTTCTGAATGTTTTGCTCTTTTGTCTTGTTTTTGGCAGCAACTGGAATTAGTGGAGCCCAGTGGCTGGATCCATGTTCCTCTAACAGATACTCACAAGAAGCCCATTCGCACTTTTATGATCCAGATTGCTGTTCTTGCGAATCACCAAAATGGAAGAGACACTCACATGAGGCAAATCAAAGTGTACACCCCTGTGGAGGAGAGCTCCATTGGTAAATTTCCCAGATGTACAACAATTGACTTCATGATGTATCGCTCCATCAGATAAAATGTCCTCATGAGGAATAATAAAGGTATTTTTTCATGACTATATCATTGCTAAAGTATTCAGATACTTAACAAGCAGGGTTTACTTTAGTGTAATTATATGTTTATACTTTGTACAATTTTGAAATAAAGATAATCTTCTGTTACAATATGGTGTAGTCTGTAATTTGTTTCTTTTTCTAGGAGTCTGAGTGCTCTTGTACTCTCTGAGAGGGGTAAAAACAATCCAGGCACTCTTAGAAGAATGTATTTGACAGGATGAGAATCAATAATTAATTTTATATAATATGGGTATTTTGGGGGATGATTTCTTCCGCTAATGATCATGCATGGAAATAGTTCATTCCTCTACCTAAAAATTGCACTTGTAAAAGCTACTCCTCTTCTTGAACAGACACAATCTAAAGACATTACCAGTAGTATTTTCCCACTATTGCTTATGCTAATGTACCCTTTTCTCTAGAGGGTTGTTTTGCTTATTGGCCATGTGCACGGATTTAGCCTTTTTGTAACTGCAAAGTAAATCATAGAATTACAGAGTATCTCCAGTTGGAAGGGACATGGAAAGATTGGACTTGATGCTGCTTCCTGCAGGACTACCTAAAACTAATCCATATGGCTAAATGTTGTCCAGATGCTCCTTGAGCTCTAACAGGCTTGATGCCATAACCATTTTCCTGGGGAGCCTGTTCTAGTGACTGATAATTCAGTGAAGATGACAATGACATGAAGAAAACCAAACCTTTCCTAATTGTTCAATGTAGTATATACATTTATATAGATACACTGAGTATCTATAGTACTCCATCTATAGGGCATCTATAGTACACCACAATGAGTGTACGTCATCTAGAACATGATAGCTGTTGAAAATAGGCGATTTAGGAATGCTCTGGCATCCTACAGCTGTGTGGGAATGCATGTGGTGGTCCAGTGTACCTTCTAAAGTACTGGGAACTCAAGTATAACACAAGAAATCTCATGTTCAGAGCATAGAATTATTTTAATGCATGTTTTAAAGTAAAGGGCATTGCAAGGAAAATGTGTGCTCTGTCTGCTTGCTGTAAGTAGGGGTATTTAACACCTTTACTAATGTCTCATAATCTAATCACTACTAGTTATTCAATGTTTTAAAAAATTGAGTAGATTTTAGAAAGAGAGGTTGTTGAAGTACAAAGGTTTCTTTTAAAATGTTTGATACTGATCTAACCCATTCTTCCTCACAGCACTATGAAAGTTGAGGGTCAATGGGGAGAGTACAGGTCAATTCAGACTAAAACCTTTGTCACTCTTAATTGTGAGCAAGGGAAGGCTAGTAATAGTGGAGGCTCATAAAACAATAATACATCATCCTGCAGAGTAGAAAGGAGACGAAATAGAGGAAAATAGGAAGTTTGTCAAAGAAGGAGGAAGATTTAACTGTTGCTCTTTGTTTTATATATTTGATGAAGCTGGTGTTTACTGAAAAGTTTTATCTCTGGCTGAACTCCACAGTATTAAGGAGGGTCATTAAACAGGGCATTTACTGATAAAGAACCTTGTAGAGAGGTGACTACCTCTCATGACTAGTTTGGGGTTTCTATCTAAATGTGGATTCAATCATTTCAGGAGGACCTTAACGGTACTTTACCTTTCCCTGTAAAGGATGGATCAAGTGCAGAATTCCTGTTCAGCAGAAGCTGGCTGAATTTGTGCCTTTCACCAAGTCTGTCACTTCTGTGGATTTTCTTGTCTAGCGTCAGGGAGTTGAACATTCCTATTCACTTAATTGAAGCAAATTATGTACATTTGATGTGCATTTCATATTCTTCTGTTTAAAAAACAACAGTAAACCTCTCCTGGATTTATTTTGATTATTTATTTATTTATTTATTATTTTTAGTTACTTTTGGTAGATTATGGATGGTTTTTAAGAAAGGAGATTATTAGGCATGGAATTTTCCTGGTTTTCTCCCAGAAGTTAAGACAGCAGTTATCCATCCTAGCTTTGCATCATCAAGCCACTATTCCATGCTTAAGGATTCTACCACAGACAATTCTGTGGTAATTTTGTGCTTTGGTCAGTAACATTTATCTTTTCATACATGTCACTCTGCAAAGGATACCTCAGTGCCAAACATTATCCAGTAAACTAGGAGCAAGCCTGTCAGCACAACCTTGTTATTTTTGTTTCTGTCCTGCCATCAGTAGGCATAATTTTTTGATCTTTAGAAAGCTATTCTAGCTTTTATTTATTTTTTTTTCAAGCCATCAATGCTCATCAATGCTATATCCTCATATAGGACATAGGGCCAGAATTTGTGTCAAAAATTTGGAATTATTATTTCTGGCAGTGTTGTTGAATAAGCTGAAGTGTAGCTTGACTACTTATCCTGCTGTTGTGAAATTACAGATTGTGTTCAAGTGGTTTTAAGAACCTATGACATGCATGGTAAGCTGGGTTATGTCAACTGTTACTGTTGGGGAAGGAATCTGTACTTACTTGGAAACAAGTGCAGTGACCATTCTAAATCTACATGAATTTTTTATGTGTTGCTTTGTAACAATTGTAGATACATTGCATTGCATTGGTATTTAACATCTGTGGAAGTGCTTTTGTTTTTTAACATTTTTGGCACTTGGTGACATAAGGCTGCTGATTTTTAAGTGATGAGATCCTAGATGAGTGTGTCTGAAAATAAAGCAAGTTGCTGCCTCTGTGTATGAATATTGCACTTAGTGTTTGAATTGGGATAAACAAACTGGGCTGCCAAGTCATTCGGGAAGTTACTTACACATATGTTGTGTTTAGCTGCTGCTTCTTTTACTGGCTCATTGTTTTCAGACACACAGTTGCCTGGAATCTTATCACTTTCTCTTTTTCTCTTGTATAAGAAGCACCTGATAACTATCAAGTAGTACAAGTAATGTTGGAATAAATGATAGTCTAAATGGAAGATGTATTTGTTCTGAAAAATCATGACTTGGCAGTAATCTGATTCAACTCTTCAAATAGTAGTAATTTAGGGGGTTTAAAACCTTTTCTTGGAAGGTCACTAGGCCTTTCTGCCTCACAGAACAGAAATTTGATTCCCAATGTAAGTGTAAAAACCTTCCTTTTAACTAAACTTTAGCTTATTTCCTTTGCAGACACTAAGAAGAGAGAGGTAATTGAGTGACCAGGACCTTGAGGAACTCCTGTTGTAATGAAGGACAGTACCTGTGTTTTGACTAAGTCATGTCTGTGTGTCTTGTTAGTACCACAGTGTAAATAAAAAAGGCAGATGGCTGAAGAAGGATAAAAGAGGTATTTGCTGCTCCTGGTTTCTAAAACGGAGAACAGCAAAACATTTATGTTTTGTTTAAATTCGCATAGGGAATCTCTGGCAGAGCTGAAAGCTGAAGCCTTATCATCACTGTCTGTCTTCTCTTTTCACTGGGAAGCTGATATTTAGATAATGATCCTGTTTCAAAGACAATTTTTTCAGTAATGCTATTTCTGTATGTAATTCCATTTAAAAGTTTAAACTGTACTTTGGGTTTTGCTTTTCTGGTTTAATGTGTAGGGGAGATGCTTTTACCAGCACTCTGACTGTTGATGCACCACTGAAACTCTTCAGCTGAGCCTCAGTGCTTGTTCTTGCCTCCCTGAAGTATCTTACTGGTGGTACTTGTTTTTCTTCACCTGTGTCAAAACAATTTAGGGAAGTAATTGAAACATTATTTACGCTTGAAATCTGTTTTTATGTTAGAGAGACAGATACTGAGATTGCCAGGACTGATTAGCAAAAACTCGTGAACTTGGGCATAATGAATGAAGTGATGGAAGAGACTGAAGGACCATGGAGAGCTACTGGATATTGGGGAGGCAAATTGTTGCTTCACCTAATAGAGCAAGCCACAGCTCTAGGCAGTAGGTAATTGCTTGAAAAATCCCCACTTTTCATACAGCAGTGGCCACCAATAATTGTAATTGTCTTGTCTCAAGAACTGCAAGTGAAACAGGTGCTCAGGCAATTCATGTCACCTTGAAGTGAGTCAGGGTGATAAGACAGCCTCATTAGAGCTGAATTGCATTACACACTATAAAGAAAGAAGGAGAGTCAGAAGCTACTCTAGTAAACTTCTCAGGAAATCTCGAAGACTTTAGCCATTTGTCAACCATAAATATGTGTCTTTGCTTCAAAATGGTGATTGGGTTTTTCTATAACCTGTATTTTCAGGATGGGTCTGATTAGTAATATATAGAAGAGTTCATTCCTCTGCCAGGCCTAAGTAAAAGAATAAATGGTCATTATAGGGTTACTGTGTTTTGCTGTGTAAATGAATTATGGAGAGAATTTTTAGTGGATGTTTTTCTTGAATTTACCAGTAAGCTCTGCACCTTTAGGAGAATGTATCTGAATTCTTTGGGATCATTGGATGACCCAGACTGAGCTCAGCATGTGCTTGCCTGCATGGGGGAAGTAGAGGTGTGGGGCTCTGAAGAGCCCATGGTTATAGCAAACAGTGCATTGCAGTGCTTTCAGAGCCTGACTTGTTTAATTCCTGGTAACCTTTGCGCTCTTATTCCTAAATTTTGTCATTCTGTGTTAATGGCTAATTAACACTGTTGCATTGATTACAAGAATGCTTTGCATTCCTTTGCATGCATACACAAAAATAACCATTTATTTAATATTTAACTATCACATTACTTCTTTAATTAAATGCAGTAGTGTTTTTTTGATGGAGCATGAGATAATAATCTAAATGCAATTAAAATGTTCCTAATATCAAGACTATGTCCCTCTAAAGATGGGGTTGCTGAGGCTTCCAGGCAAAGGTATTGGGTGGTCTGCCGTTGGTTTGGAATACTTAAGTGTTCTGGTTTAGATCAGAAAGGTGTTAAGGTGCTTTTATAAAGCTGCATAAAGCATCATTAAACATTGTTGATGGAAGCAAATTGAAAGTCATCCTTCACGTGACTTCTTTGCCGTAACTCCAGGCTGACATTTCAATGGGCTGTTTTACGTCAGCCCAACAATTGCCTGTGACAGTTTCTCCATTTGCACCAAAGAATAAACCTCTCTTGCAGCACTCAACAGTATTAGCGT